ACTTGAACCTGTGCAGACGACCCAGATCAAAATCCTGTCAAAGCCTCTGAGTTCTATCGGCTCAGAGAGATTCCGATGTGTCACTGCAAACTGAAGAGCGCGGGCGATTTACTTCATACCGCCGTGTGATGCATGATTTCTTCGGTTTATGAATTGTAAGATGCGGACAGGATTGATCTCACAGTGGCTTCTGGCTTCTATCCGATTTATAGAAGGTAAAAATGAAAAACATAGAAAAGAAAAACACGCCTTAACTAACAGGCGTGTTTTATTAGCAGGCCTTCATTAACAGGCGGGCAACATCCGGCGATTTGTTTTCCTTTTGAGGGGAGGGGGCCTCCACTGTCAAGGACATGTGCCCTGTCCCCTGACGAGGCTTTGGCTGCACCCTTGATACCCTCCAGCACGTTCCTGTTGCCTCAGTCAATGCTGTTTGAAACTCTCCCTCGCACCGGACTCTGGGTCCATGCAAAAGCTTCTTTCGCTCCTGTCTCAGTTTTGATTTCTAAAGTAGGTCTTCATCCACCTACAAAGCCACCGAACGCTGTTCCCCCCGGTTTACTGTCACTCTCTAAGCCATACTTTCTTTACTTTCTCTTCTGTGCTAAGACGTGATTTCACCAGTTGATTGCGAAAAAGCTAAGAGTTGAGTTTACCGCCTGCTACCTGATATCCGACCATACAGTGATTAGTGTTAAAAGAAAAACGCGGCCTCTGCGATCGCAATAATGTTGGAACGTCGCAGAATTTTGGCGCCAAGGTGTTTATTACCCCTATTGCAGCTCTAACGTGCGAACTATAACGAGAGGAAGGTGGGGGAGTAATTTGTCGCCCTTGAGATGCAGCATTTTATGGATGAGGCTCGTCATTTTTACTGTTCAGCCTCCTTCCCCCCCCACCCCCACCCCCACCCCTTCTTTATTTTGCGGAACTATGCCCCTGCCCTGGTAAGAATCCCACCAATTTCAGGAAGAGGGAATTCGGGTAGTGCTGAAAGCGGATCACCATCCATTCCTCCTCACGGCTCAATAACAGCTGATAATGGCCAGAGATCTAACTGGCCGAAACGTTGTGCACATTCTAAAACACCAAGCGAGGACGATGCTTCGAACAGTTGTTCCATCCGTGAGTTAAGCAAATAATTTGTTCACGGAAGGCGCTTCTCATTCAGGCTGCTTTTGACCCCACCTCGCCACGTCAAGTCTCACTGCCGCAGGCTGGCACCGGCGTGCGCCTGTCGCCACGTCAAGTCTCACTGCCGCAGGCTGGCGCCGGCGTGCGCCTGTCGCCACGTCAAGTCTCACTGCCGCAGGCTGGCGCCGGCGTGCGCCTGTCGCCACGTCAAGTCTCACTGCCGCAGGCTGGCGCCGGTGTGCGCCTGTCGCCACGTCAAGTCTCACTGCCGCAGGCTGGCGCCGGCGTGCGCCTGTCGCCACGTCAAGTCTCACTGCCGCAGGCTGGCACCGGCGTGCGCCTGTCGCCACGTCAAGTCTCACTGCCGCAGGCTGGCGCCGGTGTGCGCCTGTCGCCACGTCAAGTCTCACTGCCGCAGGCTGGCGCCGGCGTGCGCCTGTCGCCACGTCAAGTCTCACTGCCGCAGGCTGGCGCCGGCGTGCGCCTGACGCCACGTCAAGTCTCACTGCCGCAGGCTGGCGCCGGCGTGCGCCTGACAACTCGACAGGATGGTAACAAAGGGAAAATCCCACGCGCATGTGGCCTCAGCGTGTGCAAGAACACATAAAAGCGTAAATGCGTTGATATCCGACCACCGAAAATCCTCGCCAGCGAACGGAACAGGCCATACATTGCATAGTGGTGAGTATCCCCGCCAGTCCCGCGGGAGGCCAAGTTCGATTCCCAGACGGGGAGCCAGGCGGCTGACGGCCAGCACAGTGTGGACTGCGCCCACTGGGATGTTGGTTGTGGTCCAGCATTGTGTGCAGTGTTCTTCGGGGTATTCTTGCACATTTTGGTACGAGTTATTTCACATTCCTCATTTCGAGTACGACCATTTTCACTGACATTGTAAGTTGTTCAGTTCATCTGCAAGGAACATTGTGCATATAGAGAAAACAGAATTAATAGCCGTACTGCTCGTAGAAGAACCAGGAAAATGAAAGGGTGGACGCATTGATGTTTTGGCTGCATGCCTTTTTTATCAGAATATCAGTAGTAACTCCAAAATCGCCTGTTAACTGTACTCGGTTTTGCATTTATTTTTTACAGTTCTTACAGATCACCAACATTCACTGTATGAAACAAAGAGCAACTGCAAGCCATTACCACGATACAGTGCACATCTGACTAAGAATTAGAATGCGCCAAAAATGCGTGTACATGCAAACGAATTGAAGTAAACCGGCAACACATCACGCATGATTCATGCATGCAAGCGACTTTAAGTGAACGATTTCAAGCAAACGATTTCAAGCAATCCGGCATCACGCATCACTTATACGTGCAAATTATTTCTATGAACCAGGCATCGCGCATCACGCGTCAGACATCAGTCATACATGAACACGATTCTAAGCTAGCATGCATCACACATCAAGGCGCTAATGACATTTGCATAATCTGCCATGACAATCCAGACAGCAAAATAAGCAATTGGTCCGTGTTTTATCCCCTGAACGTTGGTGACTTGTAAAACCTGTGAATCGCCGTTTGAAAATAAGCTGAGAAATGAAGTAGGTCGGCAATTTCTACTGATATTCCTATCGGTGAAGGCATGTAGCCAAAATATCAGTGCACTTGTCTGCCCATTCTCCTGGTTATTCTGCAAGGAGTAAGTCTATTAATGTTGTCTTACCCACTTCCAATTGATGTGTGAGTTGTGCTGTAGGCACTTTGTATTTCTAACACGAACACAGTCGCATTAATAATTTTCTTGACGTTGTATAGTTGCCTCGTCGCCACAGTTGCTGGTTGAAGTTTCTTTTCCATTATCATCCCACCGCGCGTAGCGGTGCTATCGGTTGAATACAGCAAAGCCGTGTTCAGCGCTACTGCTGGGAGGCCGCACGGTGGCGCCACCGGTGGGTCGCGGGGTGGCGCCTCCCATGTGTGATGGCTGCGTGGCGCCAGGTTTCTTAATTGCATCGCATGCTTGTTCATTGCCCATGAATTTTCTGGTTTTATATGTAGCATTGTGATATCATTGCGTATCATTTTGTGCGTGTGGGGCGCTGCTGGACGGCCTCTCTGCAATGCTTATTCGCCTGCTATTATGTCGGCCTCGTCAAGGCTAAGAACTTCTCACCACATCGCTCAACACTTGGTGGCTTGTTGTGGATGACGCGCGTCCCGAGCGGCATGCAGTCCAACGCCCTGCGGAGTGTTAAGAAAGACTTCTGGAAACCATCAACAATCAATTGCGTAGGTAAATTTTGTGCACTTGGTAGAGGACAAGCAGGCGAAGGAGAGACACTGTCTAGGAGCATGCATTTCTACATACATTCCTAGAGCACACATTCCTACTGCATTTGTACGGGCCCCGGAGCTCAGTGAGTACAGATTGCGCCGGTTTTTAACTTCCTTTCGGGAACCCTCTGTGATGAAAACAAGAAATCCGAACTTGAAGATGGGGCCCGGGCTCCCGGGCCTCTCCCTTGGCTGCGCCCCTGCACAGGGGCATTCCAATGATACGTATATGATCGAAAAATGCATCAGCAATGAACAAACACACGCCGCAAATATGAAACCTGGCGCCACGCAGCCATCACATACATAGGAAGCGCCACCCTGCGACCCGCCATTGGCGCCACCTAGCGGCCACCCAGCAGTAGCACTCACCAAGGCTTTGCTGCATTTAACTGAAACACTGTTTCGCTCGGCGGGATGACAATGGAAATGAAACTCCTAGGAACAAGCACGGAAACGGCACAATTATACAACATTAGGATAGTTAATAATGGCGCTGCATTCGCATGAGAGAGGTAAAAATTCCTTAAGAAAAACTAAACATGACTGAAGGTGACTGTTCACAAAACGGCTTAAGTGAAGAAACTCGCACCAAAATGTGAACTAATCCCCTAAGACACTGCAAGCAATACTGGGCCGCGACAAGCTTCAAAGTTGGTGGAGTCCACAGCGGCGGCCAGTCCCCTCACCCCCCCTCCCCCCACCACACACACCTTGTTAAACGTAGTAACAGTATCTTTGAAATGGAACGTTTGCGGTTACCATTGTGGGTCGACATACGTGCTTGCTTGGCGGCCCCGTTTGACTCTAAACCACTTGAATTTTTACTACCACAAACCGACGCCCGAGAACTAATCTTCAGAGCATTACTCTCACACATTTCGTATATCTAGGGTACGTTGGGGCACATGTAGCAGGGACAGTTTCTCCCATCCCTTTCCCTCCATGGCAAATCCCCTGACCTGCAGGGTGCGTGTTAGAATTATGTAGGGAAATGCTTTGCTAGCATATTATGAAGAAATATCTCCCGACTTCCTAAATATTGACCGCTCGTAGGCGATAGGCGGTGAAACACGTCCTTTGGATTATTATTTAACTGCGGAGTGGTTGGCTATATATGCTTGTGTGTATGCAAAGAAAACTGTATGAGGGAACTTTTGGACATCCATGTCGACGCATTCGAGAAAGGAACAATCCGGATTTTCTTCCGTCGTTTCTTCCAGCATCGAGTCTCCTAACCGCGTTAGAGACTTCCATTATGCCCATAGGACCGGGGCCATAGGTCGAAGGGCATCGTTGGCCGAGCGTGGTCGCGACATCTGTGACTGCTATCCAAAAGAATGAGTGTCATCACTCATGAAGTTGGTGGCAGCTGGGCGAGACGTTCTTGCCACACTATGTTGTGGAATTTGGCCTTATGACTCAGGATGCTCGGTGAAGAAATAGGCGTTTTAAAACCCTAATCTCACACGCGGCTTTTGAATTAGCGCGTCCTTGAGGTTACATATTGATAGCGGCTGTATAGCGGCAGGAATGCTTTTTTGTGGAGAGGGGGGGGGGGGCGATGCTGCTCACATTTTGTTGTATATTTTGATTACACATATTGCATTGCGGTTGTTCCCAATACCACTTTCCTATCTTTTCGAATTCTTCACATAGAGTTTCTATTTAATTGCAAACACAAACCGCGACGCTTCAAGGTAACATTGCATCAATATTTGATTTACATTCCCTCATCACATGTTCTACACCTCCCGCAAAACATGAGAGAACAAACATCGGTTTATATAGATATAACTTTTCTCCTTCAAATCGTAGATGATCAAACACATCGACTTGCTGCACTCGATGATGCAACGACTCGAGACGCCCAGCGCGCCGTCATGCATAGAAGGCCCCAAGCGATACGTACAGGTTCATTTAGGAACACAATGCATGAAGAATCGCTTTAAAATGAGTAGCAGTCGGGAACATTGAGTTCAAGTGCTCGCTCCCGAGCACACATACACAGACACGCATACGCACGCATGCACGAACGCACGTGCGGGCGCACGCAAGCACGCGCGCATGCACGCACGCATTTACAGTGCTTAAAGCATGTAGGCGAGCGTATTTCGATATCTGGCTGCGTGAGCCTGCGTACACGATTGTGTTGGTGCTGTGATTGACGCATGAACTGTAGTGTTCAGGCTCTGCAGCTGTTGCTGCTTTACATTGTACGTGACATGAACAAGGCACAGTGTGAAACAAGCGGTGATGGCAGTGCCACCCGCGATGTCAGCAGGAAGTGACGGATGCTTTCTCTCAAATTTATCGCAAGCCCAAGGGAGCATTCTCTCCCGTGGTACGAACTCGCGGCTCAAGGGAACGTCTTGCAACTTGAAAGTTGCAAGCAAAATTTCCATCCTTTCCACAGGTACGGTAGAAACGAGTTGCACAACATACAGAACGTTTCAAACATTTTACAACAATAAGCCACTGACACAAACATGCATGTGAAGAACACGAGTGGAACGACCGGGCAGCGGGATACCAAGAGCCTGTTCAGGATGTTGTTCACCTGGCCGGTATGTCGTTGCACACATTCGGGTTTCAGACCGGCGAGTAGTACTGGTGGATACGACGTTTGGTTCTGATGGAGACGCCGCCAGGTGCTGATGAGACTACGAACTGCCCTCATGGTGGCGAAGACATGTCTTTCCGGCGACAGAGTTATATTCTTGTGGAGACGCAGGCCTGTCTTCACAGAGACAGAGACCTGTCTTGGTGACATCGGAGTCGGCGCCGCGGACGGGCGCGGCCTCTGCCGGCGCAGCGGCGCCGGGCGCGGTTGGGCAGTGTCGCGGGGGCCGAGCGGCACCGCCACACCCATCTCACCACCCCCAGCCGTCGCTACAGACCGCGACGGTGCGCTCGGGTCGACCGTCAGCTTCGCAGCTCACTCTACCCAGCAGCCGCCTAGACGAGCCTGCAGAGCGCGTCGTGCACGGGTATGGCCAGCAGGCCCGACATCACCGCAGGCAAGAAGAACGACATTGGCATCATGGCCAGGCACTCCTCGCGGTCCACCTCGTCCACCTGAAACCGTCGAGGCGAGCGGCGCCGCCGTCAGCGCGCGACACTGCGCAGCACGCTCGCCCGGTCCGGCTACAACACGCGTGGGCAACGGCGTCACCGGGCTGAATACTGCGGCCCGGGACGACGGTAAACAGCTAACTCATAGACAGTAAGTGTTTGATGCATCCTTTCTGAGTGACCTTCACTCACGTTCCGGGGGCACGCGCTGCCATTACGTCGAGGGGGTGCTTACAAGTGTACGCTACGTGTGGACGTAAGGGGGGGGGGGCACACGCGAATTTAGGGGAGCGGGAGAAGGAAACTGGTGATTAAGAGAAACTAATTTCTGAAATCACAGCTCTTATTTCTGCCGTTTCAACAACTGTATCGTCTCCGTATCACTGCGGCACCATCGTACATCCAGCGTCACTTACCTCGTTGTAAATGGTAAACATTGTCGATTTGAACTGCGTCCCTTCCATCAGGCCTTGTATCAAAAGGATCGCGAACATGATCCATACACTTGGGAGAAAACGTAGGCATGCGGCCAGCAGTAGCAGAACCAGAACAAGGCCCTGTGGACAAGGAATGGGCTATCAAGGACAGCACGGAATCGCTAGTGTTGGAAGCAGCCAGCCATTACACCGCCCGGCCTCCTGAATGCGCATAGCAGTGCACTCGTTTCGCATCAGTTTAAGTTAAAAATCCACTGCACACTTTTGATAAGGGCACTTGTTGCATGGGAAAGATACACATAAGTTGTTGGTCCTAAGAACTACCTTGCTGACAGAAGTTCCGAACTTTGAACATGTTGCCGCGTGACGCGACATGGCTCGACGACCAAACGATCATGTCTATTCGGTTCAAAATTACGTAAGTTGTTAAGTGCATTTGCGAGGAATATTATGAATATAGATAGGACAGGAGTAATAACATTATTCGTCGAAGAAAAAAAACAGGAGAATGGAGAGATAGATACGTTGATATTTGGGCAACATGCCCTCATCAAAACAACAAAGACATGCTATGTTAACATGTCAAAAAGGCACGTTAAAATTTTTTTTAAAAACATGTTAAAACCCATCGCAAAGCAAACTTTGTTTCGATAAAGGCATATTGCTGAAACGCGAGGAATAAAGCTATTACTACTGTCTTATCTACAAACGACCATGCCTTGTTTTTATTCACTGGGATTAGACACTGGGGTCTTATAGAAATAACTGGAGCACATGCAGAAGTTTTGCCCGAGCTTTTGCTGCAGGGGACGTGAAGCCGTTGTATTTTGTATACGGTGGGCCGACGATGAAGAAATGCAAATAAGCATGCTCCATCCAGCCCAAACTGTGCTGCATTGGCCTCCAGCGGTGCGCGGTGATTATTATTGCGCACCCGAATATAAGGGCGGCTTTTGTATACATCAGTCGTTGGATTACATGTACTGCCGGACGTCAGCACGTATCCGGTCCCCAAACAGGCTAACGGTGCGCCAGTGACACCGCAATCTGCGAAAACAGTGAGTCCGGTTCGGCCACCACGGCCCGTGTGAACAGATCTCGGAAACCTCGACCCTTGTGAACCGACATTAGAAGCCTCGACCTGTACGAACCAATGTCGAAAACCACGACCCCTGCGAACTGATTCCGGAAACCTCGACCCGTGCCAGCCATTTTCAGAAACCTCGACCCCCGCGCATCGATGTCGAAAATCTCGACTCCGCTTCAGGACCGCTTCGTCACAAGACCGAATAAAGACTTCGTGCTCTAGACAAGAAGATAGGGCATGTCGGGCTTCACAGAGGCGTAAAAGTTGTAAATAAGCGCGCGTTGAGCGCAGCAGTGTGTCGACGTACACTCAGCGTGTCTCTTGTTCTCAAATTGTGTCCCAGGCGACAACACACGACCACGAGCATCGCCCGGCGCCCAGCTCCAGCTTCTCCCTCCCCCTCCACCGCCACATGTGTCCAAACAAGCCAACCACTCGTTGAATGCGTCTCGGCTGAAAAACGCAGGCAGAATCTGTCCTTGGGCCGATGGCCCAAGACGGCGGCGGCGGGGCGAGCACGCGATGGATCCGGCCCTGGGTGCCGTTAACGCGGCGGGCGTGTTTACCCGCCGCACGCGCGCGACTGTTGTTGACCGCCGCAAGCGGCGGGCCGGGCGCCGCGCCCCGTCCGCGCACTGCTCACTGATCCCGGCGATCTGCACCGCCCTGGCGACGGCACATCGGCACGGAACACACACAACATCGACACACATCTCCTGCGACGGCTACAGTTCGCCACCGTGTCTGTAATGCAATTGTTGGCTATGCAATTATGGAAAGGCTCTGGTTTTCATGCGCCATCTGTGTGTAATGGGATAAGATTCGTGATGGTAAGAGAACACCAGAAATGTTATCCACATGCACAACTTGTCATGGCATACCCCATCTACAAATCACAATCACAGTGCCACTGGTAAACCAAAAAGCATGCCACATGATTAATGTTTAATACAATGTCTGTAAATATGCGTTATTTTCATTGCCTTAGTCTCGCTGACTGGCCAATATATTCCGCAGGTACTCGGGTATGACATGCGCAACATTCGTCGAAATCGGAGGAGTGGCAGTGCATAGTTGGCTATTTATGCCTGCTTTTTCATACATACAAGAGCATACAATTTACAGCACCTTAACAGGGTTCTCACGTGCGATGTGTTTCACATTTCCGCGATTGTCATTAGTTTTCAAGCTACATGCTTGATAGAGATTTGTTATGTTGCCTAAGGCAATCTCTTCCGATATCAGTTTGGCACTCATGTCCGTGTCAAAAATTTCAGGGCAACATCTGACGTCAAATATTCGATAGAGATCGAGAAGCTATATTCAGCAAGATATGTGAAGTGCAAACGGATGTCTTAGACATGCTTTCATCAGTTTTTGACCTAGGAGTGTTGCTGCAAACTTTACATGATCACAATTTTTGTGGCGTTGCTGAATGTGAACGATGTCACTTGAATGGCACGAACAGGATGTTTGGATAAAATGATTGCTATCTTGGTGCGTCGCATCGTCAACGGCGCTGTGGCGACCGTCGTGGGACGAGGAGGCATGTATGGTGGCAACAGGCAAATGTGGAGCATTTCAAAGCGTCGTGCGATATTGGCTGGTCATATGATGTGTCCACTTAGGGTTAGCAGACATCATATGAGGGTCCAATGTTTCATATTTCAAATGCAGGTTGTGGCAGTGTAGTGATTGTGACTCATTCTAACGCTGTGAAATAGGTTAAGTATATTGTGCACGCTCGTGTGTGGTGTAATCAACCGAGGGGACTTCCACAATATGATATATCAAACATTCATTTATTCTTTGGCAGTGCATTGCCATGAGCAAATGCATTCAATGTTAGGAGACCTAGCCTATTGTTTATTAAGACGAGCTGTAAGGGTGAGATGGCTGGCACATCTGGGCGAGGGGGCATTGTGAATCCCAGTCCTCTTCCTAATCATTTGTAGTTGGAAACTGGCGGCGCCATTATTCAGGCCGATCATTTGATACTATAGAAATACCGTAGTCTGCGTGCTGTTATCACTGCTTTCTGAGCACCATCACTGGTATAAGGCAAACAATGTTGTGCATTTAATGTCATTAATATGATGTATTCCATGCACAATCAAATGCAACGATCTAAAGTTCAGAAAAACCATACCAAATTTGCATTGCACTTATCTTAATATCTGTGTGTTGATGCCGGGTCAGCATGGTAGCACGACGGGCTTTCCTGTGTGAGATCCTAACTGTCTGTGACGGGCTGGGCCGACGACCGACATTTGGAAAAAGTCATCTGTAGTGACGACCCGGTTGTCTGTACGCGCCGAGTAGCTGCCCATTGCCGGCTGCTATGTGTCAGCCCGGCGTCCAGGTACTGGCTATCAGAACTCTGGCCAAGCCCGAGGCTCAATGGTAGCCTCACCTGACACACGACCGGCGCCCAGAGACGGTCCGTGTGGAACAGCCGATGCCCGGAGCGCGACAGCATCACGCCAAAGCACTGGATCGTGATGTACCAGTTGTACTGCTGTGACGGCGTCAGCCAGATGCCCGGAAAGTAGATGAGCTCCAGCTGCAACAGACACCGCCGCAGCGTCACAGCCGGCCCGCCCGCTAGCCTCGGCCGGGTCATGCCGGTGCCACGCAGCAGCCGAAACACCCCTGGTCAGATGGTCATAACCATCATCATAATCGCCATCGTCATCGTCATCGTCATCTCACCATCATCATTATCGTCGTTATTATCACCATCGTTATAGTCATCATCGTCATCATCATCATCACCACTATGATCACCACCATCGTCCTCGTCATCACCATCGTCATAGTCGTCACTATCATCATTATCGCCGTCGTCACCATCGCCACCACCATCACCGTCATCAGCATCATAAGCATCCTCATCCTTATTAACATCATCGTCATCATCTTCAATATCACCACCATCATCAGTATCATAATTATCATTACCGTTGGAGTTCTACGACGCATTCATCTGCTGAGGCTATATGGCGTCACCTGCCTCTGAACCTAGAAGAAACTGCAGGCACCGCGGGAAATCAAGCCCCGTACCTATGGTTTCCCAGACGCCCAGTTTAACCGCTACACTACCGACACCCCCTGGTCAGATCAATCTGGCGGTGCGCGTGGTAATATGCAGGTCACCAAAGCACGTGCAGTTGGGGAAGAAGATGTTTTCGTACCAGACCGGAGCCGATGAAGTACATCTCTAGGTAGAACATGAAGAGAGGAAGAATAAATTTTGAAGCGGCCTGAAAAGAGACGCAACCGAATCCGTTACCAGGTACTTCAAGGATTTTCCTACAAACGGCAAGGTAATAGCCAGTTCGGCAACAAGTAGAGGAAAGTGGCAAGCACTTCCTTTGTTAACTGACAGGGTTTCTCAGTGAGTCAACGTGAGTGGGTTCGAAAATCGTCAGCAACGCCAAGTTAAACCAGCAAACCACGGCATATATCGAGAAACGAGTCAACTATTTCAAAGACGCTTTAGGCAATAAGATGCGTGTGCGATACAAGAGATTTTGAAGGAACTCAAATCGGACGACTACGCGTAGTCTTAACCACACTGCGCTACACAAGACCATGAATAGACTCTGGTCACCGCCACTCACGCGCATGATCTGCAGCCTCTTGAGCAGGCGGGCGCCGAGTTTGGCCTCGGCCGGCTGGGCCTGGCGAGCCTGCAGCTGCTTCAGCTGGCGGCCGGCGGCCTCCGCGGTGTCGTGAGGCCGCGCCAGGATAACCCAGAAACTGTGCCGCAGAGTCACCGGCCCGCCGTCAAACCCGCCACAGTGCCAGTATCATCCAGAAACTGTTCCAGAAACTGTCACAGATCCGCCGTCAAACCCGCCGCAGCGCCAGGATGACCCAGAAACTGTTCCGTAGGGTCACAGATCCGCCGTCAAACCCGCCACAGTGCCAGGACAACTCAGAAACTGTTCCGTAGGGTCACAGATCCGCTGTCAAACCCGCCACAGCGCCAGGATGGCCAAGAAGCTGTTCCACAGATCATCGGTTATGCCCACCACAGAGAGAAACAGCACCAGAGTCACCAGCAACCAATGAACTGTCTCACAGACCCACCATCAAACCATCACATGAACACGCCCAACACATCTGGTTTCTGCATGCGCATTTTCCACAGTGGTTCTGACAAAGACCAGGGCTCGCTCGATCTATTTAAAAATCTTATCAATCCCTGCAAGATCGTCAGCTACATCTGATTGTTCTGCGCACGCGCACGAAGACACGCAAATCGCACAGTTCTGTGACGAGCATATGCGCACGGACCATCACCCGACCTTTAGGACAGGGGACTCTGGATCTGGCTAACACACGTGCAAAGGGTGATCTCGCATCAGGAGGCCCACCTGTTGATGACAACCTGCCCATTTCGGATCACGCGGTTGTATCACGTTCAGACACGACAACTTCGCAGAGGATATTTGTCTTTCATGGGCTCGCGTGCGGGTGAGGCCTGACCACGGGAGCAGTGTGCACACGATCTTAAAACATGGCTACGCGGTCGAGAATGCACCAGATGCTCATTATAAAGAAAAAGGTGGAGTCAGGCTCTGATGACGCAGCACACAAAACTGATCGGAGTTAATCTGCTGAGTGCAGCCTCAGCTGCATCGGTGCCCCCAATCGGCCGGCGACTGGGGTCACATGACACGGGGCCGCGTCCCGTCTGGCGTAATGGGTGTAATCTGTCTGAACACACAGCTGCTCGGAGTCCGGCGGTGGGCAAACACGGCTAAGTCTGCTGAAAGCTGTGGCCGCGGGTGCGGGCAGGCGAACAGGCTCCAGGGACGTTCGAAGTGATCATGCTCTTCCTTGAGGAATTTCAGTTTCCACTGGCTCCACTGAGTATTTTTTTGATTTTGCAAGGCATTTCAACTGGATGGACATATTTATAGCTTTTTACGTTGCCTTGCCTTCTAATAATACCCAACCCATTTGTACTGTCTATGTTTTTTTTGCAATTCGATGAAATACTAATCTGTACCACTTGTAGTAGTCCCTATCCACATGATAAGACAGAAGTAATAGCCTTATTCCCAGGAAGAAAACCAGGAGAATGGAGATCTAGATGGATTGATATTTCGGCAACATGCCTTTATCAAAACAATAACATAGCTGTTTTTAAAACTGCCTGTCGATGATTCTACTTATTTCTCAGATTTTTCGTAAACAGCATGCCACGGTTTTTACAAGACACCAACATTCAGGAGATTAAACAAAGAGAACTGCCAGCCTTTGCTACGATACAGCGTATATCCAACTAAGAATAAGGATTCGCGAAAATACGTGTACATGCAAACGAATTTAAGTTAACACGCATCACGCATCACGCTTCATTCAAACATGCAAGTGAGTTGAAGTAAACAGACATCACACGTTACGAATCAATTATATATGTGAGTGATTTCAATTAAACAGGCATCGCGCATCACGCGTTAGGGATCACTTAAACATGCACGCGATTTTACACTATTACACAGCTCCTTGTTTAATCCCCTGAATGTTGGTGTCCTGTAAAACTGTGGTTTGCTGTTTAAGAAAAAAAAACTGAAAAATCGAGTAGGATCATCGGTAGGCAATTTTGAATTCCCTTCTGCTATTCTTTCGATAAAGGCATGTTGCCGAAATATCAATGCATCGATATCCTCATTCCCCAGGTCTTCCTCCGAGAAATCAGGCTATTACTGCCGTCTTATCTATGAGGATAATGTTCCTCGCAAATGCACTTACAACTTTCAATCCCTATGCATTTCATTCCGATTTACTGGTACTATATCCAAGGATTTATTCAATACGTGAAAACACCACTGAAGCGACAATACGTTCGGTGATAGACGCACCACGTGTTGCGCATATCACCAATCTTTCAGTTACTCCACCAAAGAGCCAAAGAGCCATCATCATTCAATATGAAGAGAACTGCATTATTCGAAGGGCATATAAGATATCATCGCTACGCCCACGCCGCTCGTATAGCAGTTAATTTCGGCAATTGATAGTCACAACGAACATCTGTTAGCCCGGGGTCCGGGGTCGTCAGTAGGGAATATGATCTGCGCCACTGGCCGGGCGGCCGTCTCTTTGATGTGCCATCGCTTATGCATGCACAGCTGGGGCTCCTTACAAATGCTGCAAGACATAATATATCATGCACATATTCTTCGACTGCTGCCGCCAGGAAAATCAGATGTAAGGTGCGGGCTGTAGCGGATCCCTGCAGTGCTATCGATCGACTCTTGATTGCCGGCCGGTCTGCACATGCGTGGCCGCGTTCCGCGCGAGGTCAGTGATTTGACCCTCCGCTGCCCGATGTGACTAGCTTACAGTGTGGGTGTCTGTGTGTTCCAGACTGAGCCACGACCGGAACAGTGCGTCACTGCAACTTCAATGTTGTTGCAGTTGAATGCCTGCAATTCAGCTCAGTGTTGAGTCGGTGGCAGGGCTTTGTCACCGGGGCTCATTCAACGGCCGAGGCGTTGATCAATGTGTTAAACTTTCGGAGGAATGAACTAGCATTCAAGGGCGTGGTTTGTCTTGTTTGCTCTTTGGCTTCTGCGTTGCAAAATGGCATGCAAGAATATTTTTAGTGATTTGTGACGAGCTTCCCAGTATCGGAGCTTGGCGTTGCGGCAGGCCAGGTTAGCGTAGTGGATGGGCATACGCAGCAGCAGAGTGTTCCTACCGCTATAGCAGATACGACGGGATGTAAGCGAGTGAACGAGGTGTGGAGACTGCAAGCTAGTACGAATACGCATGTAGCTGAGAAAGTATGTGATTTATACGTGCCAGAAAGTCGATAAACATATAAAAAACGGACAAAACAAACTCGCCATGCTCCCACCTCCCGCGGGTTAACGTAGCTCATTAAAGTGGCATCCATCAGCCCAGCGTTATCATCATTATGGTACCATATGTACGCCACTAACTGGGACAGCAGTCTGTCTGATGTTCTATCGCTTATGTATGCATTGCTGTGCTCCTAGCCTATGATGTATGATACATGTATGCATGTATTCCTCGACCACTGCCGCAAGGAAAATCAGGTAATGGTCGGAGCCGACACTGGACCCTTCCAGCGCTCTTAATCAGCGTCCATTTCCTGCGCGCGGCCGGATGGGGCCAGTCAAGGATAAAAGCGCGTGTCGTCGCATTTGACCGGGTCCAATCCTTCCGCCGATCTGGCCTGCCACACCCGGCCGCATCGCGGGCCGTGGCCATGCCCGGCACTGTTTTGATAGTGAATGGCCCGGCCACGTGCCGCATACCAGACGCGGCCGAGCGGCGGCCGGCCCGAGTGCTGGCCATGTCAGTAGTGGCGAGACGT